GTTATGTTATCTTCTAGCATTCGTATTACAACTGGTTTCTTACTTAAAACATAATTTCAGTCCTTATATATCCAGCAAGACAAAGTTCATCACCATTTTTTTACACGAACATTCTCTCAACACCCATACTTTTTTTTTTTTTTTTTTTTTTTAAGGGGGGAAAATCATCGAATGACTGCCCCCGCCTGGGTGAGGCGGGAGGGAGTGTCAGACTCTTACTGACTAAAAACCACCCCGTTCCTTCTCCTGCACGTCGAGCCGGAGCCCCGGTTACCCGTTAGGTTCTCCGCGACTCCGAATCGGCATCGGCCCTATTGGGCCCCATCTGTGGTGGTCTGATGGCTCTTTGAGGCGCGCGCGGAACGCGACGCGCCGTACGCTCGGGTCTGTTTCTGGTCGGACGGGGAGCCACCCATGCTCGCCGTCCGCAGGCCCGCGCTTACGGTGGCCGGAGATCGTCCCGCGATCCCCGACGCCCGGTGTGTCCTTCGCGATGGCTGGGTTGCGAGGAGGCAGCGCTTCGCTGCCTCACGCGTCCCGCCTCCTCCTTAGCTAGCATGACTGCTTCGCAAAAGGAGGAGACGGCATCCCAATCCCCCTCGCTCCGCATCATGGCCTGCACTAGGCCCGGACGCGAGAGGTCGCCATCGCCGATCACTTCCCTGAGGACACGGCGGTGCTCAGCCCACGAAGGGCATTCTCCCACCGTGTGTTCCACCGTGTCCTCAGGGCGGTCCTCGCAGTGATGACACCCGGGCGTTTCCTCCCGCCCCATCAGACACAGGTACCTCCCGAAACTTCCATGTCCGGTGAGGACCTGCGTCAGGCGGTAGGTGAGGACGCCGTAGCGTCTCTCAAGCCACTCCTCAAAGAGGGGACTTACCGCTGCGATGGCAGCGAGCCCAGCCCTCGGTTGCGACAGTCGTTGCTGCCATTCCGCCATGAGATCGCGCCGGAGCTCATCCCGCCACGCACTTATCTGGCGCGGCAGCGGAGTTTCGCCCCGGCGACGTGCCTCCGCGCGCATGCTGTGCACGCGCGCGAGCACCTTCGCCTCCAGATCCCACGGCGGTAATCCGGCAAGGAGGTTCGCCGACTCCCCAGAGATCGTGCGGTATCCGCGGATCATTCGGATCGCCATGACCCTCTGTGCCATGAGCAGCGTCCGAGCGGGACGCCGCAACAGGTTAGGCGCCCAAACAGGGGCGCCGTAGAGGGCCATGGACCGCACGACCCCGGCGTATAACCTCCGGCAGGAGGCGTTTGGCCCCCCGAGGTTGGGGAGGATGCGTTTAAACGCAGCCCCCGTCCTCTCCAACTTTGGAGCCAAACGTCGGAAGTGTTCAATGAAGTTCCACCGACTGTCGAGGACGAGTCCTAGGTACTTCATCGTCGTCTCGACGCCGATGGTAACTCCTCCCGCCGTTATTTGGGACCCACCCGGAGGTGGCGCGTTCCCGCGGCCATGAAAACACATGGCCTCGGACTTGTGGAGCGCCACCTCGAGTCCCAACTGCCGGATTCTCTCAACGACTGTCGCAACCGCTGTCGCCATTAAGTCGGCCGCCGCCTGGTGTGACCTCCCGTGCGCTAGCACCAGCGTATCGTCGGCGTAGCATATTGTGCTAACGCCGTTCGGGAGGTCGGTGCGCAGCACCCAGTCATAGCCGATGTTCCACAGGAGCGGCCCCAGAACCGAACCCTGTGGAACACCGCGTGACATCTCTCGCCGGTTCCACTCGCCCCGGTGACCGGGGTAGCTGACGGACCTGTCCGTCAGGTAAGCCTCGATTACACGACGGAGGTAGGTAGGCACCCGATGATATCGGAGTGCCTCCAAGATGCAGCTCCAGGGCAGGGAGTTGAAGGCGTTGGCGATGTCCAGAGACACCGCCACTACGACCTTACCCCTGGACACTGCAGTCCCCGTCGTGAGGTCTCTAACGCGCATGATGGCGTCCACCGTGGAGCGCCCTCTGCGGAAGCCGAACTGGCCGTCCGACAAGTCCGGCCCAATGTCCGTCAGGTGCGCGACGAGGCGGTTCGAAATGATTCTTTCGAAGACTTTCCCCACCTCGTCGAGCAACACTATGGGCCGGTACGCGGACGGAGAGTCCGCAGGGCGCCCCGTCTTCCGCACGAGGACCAGTTTTCCCGCTTTCCAGAGAAGCGGGAACTGGCCTCTCTCCAGACATGCGCTGTAGAGACCAATCAATCGAGGCCCGAGAGCCTCTGAGGCCAGGACCCATGCCTTGCCATGCAGGCCGTCGGGTCCTGGGGCGGTGTTCTTGGCGCCCATCCGGCGCACCGCCGCTCTCAATTCTGCCTCGGTCACCTCTGGGACGATGTCGTCGTCGTCGTCGCTGTAGCCCGCGTCGGGCACCGCAGGGGGCGGAGTCATATACGGAGGGGTGAACCCCCTCCACAGTCGAGGGAACAGGGTGCCAATCACCTCCTCCAAGACTTCTTGCCGGAGACTCTGGGTGAGCGGGGGAGCCCAGGCGCGGAGCTTGTCGCGTACCATCCGGTACGGGCGTCCCCACGGATCTCTGTCCAGAGTCCCCAGCATCTCTCGGCGGGCCTCCTCCTTGGCCCGCAATATCTCCACCTTGAGGAGGGCCTTGGCCGCCCTGTATCCCTCGTACAACTCCGCCTCTCTCGCCTCCGCATTAGGAGGACGGATGCGGCGCCTGCGGTGCCTAGTGTACTGGCGTCGCGCAGCAGTGCACGCCTTGCGTAGAGCTGCTAGCTCTTGCGACCACCAGTACACCTGGCGCTTTTGTTGCCTCGACCGGATCCGGGGCATCGCCACGTCACAGATCCTGGACATGGCGTCCTGGAGCCACTTGGCCTCATCGTCTATGTCGGCAGGCCTGACCGGTGGTATCACCCAGGCCTGCACGATGGCGGCTTCCAGGAGCAGCTCCCGGTCCAGCTGTTTCAGCGCCCAACGCGGGCCACATGGGGCCTGTCTGACCGGCGGGTCTGCGGACTCGGCGGAGACGTCGAACCGGATATACCGGTGGTCGGAGTACGTCTCCACCTCCTCCATGACGCGCCAGCCAACAATACGCGGTGACAGAGCAGGGCTGGCGAACGATATGTCCACCACCGACTCGCCCTGCATCCGCACACACGTGGGGACAGAACCCCGGTTCAGGACGACTAGGCCTGTCTCAAGGGCCCAGTCTTCCACCATCCTACCCCGGACGTCGGTGAACCGGGAACCCCAAGCCAAGTTTTTGGCGTTGAAGTCCCCGAGGACGAGCACGGGGAGGGAACGGAACCCGACGACGACAGTGACCAACTCCCTCAAGGAGTTGTGGAACTCGGCGAGAGTTCGGTTCGGAGAGAAGTACACGCCCACCACAGCGAGCTCTCCGAACCGTGCTGCGACACAACCCCGGCCTCTTTGAGCAGCCTCAAGAGTCGGGGTACCGGCGGCGGCCGACGAGATGATGGTCACCGAGCCGTCCAGGTCCGCCACCCAGTGATCCCTGGGCGGGACAAAGTACGGCTCGGAGACCACGGCGACATTGATTGACCACTGCGCCATGCTCTGGAGCAGGAGATCCTGAGCAGCGGCGCAGTGGTTGATATTCGCCTGGAGGAGGCGGAATGGAGCCATTATTGGCAGTCCATTCCGACCTCCTCAGTGGCGGCAGCGGCGACTGCGGTGGCAGTGGCGGCGGCGGCGGAGACGACGGGGGCGGCGGAGGGCCTACTTTTGCCCTTGGGTTTGGCGGGAGGGGAGCAGCCCTTGCTCCCGACCCGGTGATTGGCCGGCTTGCCAGCCGCCGCACATGCGTTGCAGTGCAGCGGGGCGTTGCACGAGCCGGCCTTGTGACCGGGCCGACCGCAGCGGAAGCCAACACCCATACTTGGACTTTGACCACAAAACAACAAGTAAAATTAAATTACTTCAATATAATTAGGTTCATTGTGTAAACAAGTTTTTTCTCGATAACATTTCATTGGCTGATCTCATGGAGCAAGGTTCGTCTACCCGCTCCTTGCGTCGTTGCCTCCCTATTCGCATCGACACCAAGTCGACCAGTTTTCTAAATATATCGTAGAGTGAATGTACTCACATATGTACAAGTACATACTGACGTACTTAAACTGGAGAACGTAGGTTGTTTTAATGATAATTAGTTTAAGAAATTATTTTTATGTTAGTAAAAACTTAAGTTATAATACGTTTGTAAGTTATGACGAGGACTTAAATTGAGTTTATATTCACCATAAGCAGGAACTTCGTTTGATTGTCAATATCAGTAAAACACATAAAGTTCACTATCACGAAACACAAATTATAATACACTCATGATTCTTAAAAACTGCTACAATACTGACAGTTTATTTAAGAAGTAGGTATTTCTGAAGGAAACCCTGATCTTATAATCCTCCAAAGTCGCGGCCAAAACAGAAATGGCTGTGCCCACCGCAGTCCAAATCATAAGCATCAGTTATTTTTTTAATCATCAGCCTCTAAAATTCCACCTTATTATAGTTAATTTTAAGTGTGGGAGAACCATGCCTCGGCACGAATAAGCCGGCTCGACCGGAGTGATACCACGACCTCACAGAAAACAACGCTTGCGTTGTGTTTCGTCGTGTGAGTGAGGTTACCGGAGGCCCAATTACCCCCTTCCCCAGTCTCCCCAATCCCCGAATCCCCCACAATCCTACAACTCCTAATTCCCAAAAGGTTGGTAAAGCACTTGTAACGCCTCTGGTGTTTCGGGTGTCTATGAACGACGCCGATTGCTTACCGTGTGATCCGTCAGTCCATTTACCGGCTTATGTCATAAAAAAAATAACTGGACGGAGTAATGTTCAGCGAGAATAAAACCGGTCCACTGCCATATTTTTCAAACCACGATCTTTTTCAGAGTATTTATTAAGCCAAGCTAAAGGCGTGTCTTCGTATGGAGAAGGACGAGCAAGAAACCATCTTTAAAAGAATATCTCTAAACTATTTAACCTATTCCCAACAGATCGCGGCCCTCTGCACATTTCTGGCTTTGGTAGCAGTATCATTCGAGCAGGACACACGGGACTCGACGCCCATATCGCCATGTCCGAACGTGTTCATGTATGAGCCACCAGGCTCAGAACAGGGAAGGTGGTATGGCGTCGTGAACCTGTCCACTGACAGCACTCTGCACTCCCTGTGGCTGAATATTGTGCTTGATAACAAGGCTGATATACTTGGGGTGAGTATTTTTTAAACGATTTTATTTAACTTGCCCGGTTTTCTTGTTTTTAATAGAAGTTAATTTTTGAAGTTGGTAAAGAAAATACCACAATATAGTCAAGTTAAAATAAAAATCATTTATTTCAATTAGACCAGGAAGGCACTTTTGAACGTCAACAAAACATTTAAAGTGAAGCTATTTGCTCATTCCAAAGTGTATATTTCTATGGAGAAGAACGAGCAACAAACTCAATAGGATACTCTTTTCTAACCAGATTCACAATACAGTCATAACTAACTCGGATTTCGCCGAGAATAAAGAGAGCAACAAGGGAATGTAAGGAATTATTCGGTTTTATATACAGGTTATATAAAAACAAAGTTGGCTAACCGTAATAATTACTTAAAGTATTCCTTATTAACGAGGCTGGGGTTAGGTCATTAAATGACTCTGAGTACCGCCGTGTATCTTCATATATGTATCTTTCAGTAGCCTTAAAGCTAGGTATATACCTAGCTTTGAAAATTAAATTGCAATGATAATAATATTATTATCATTGCAATTTTCTTTTATTTTAAATATGTATAGCTTCTGTATCAGAATAGGTACACCGCTCCGGTTTCCGTAAACCAAGCAGACTAAACACATTTTGTGAAATATTTTCCTTCATATGATCCGGTTATACTGGTGACCTTAATACACAGCAAGAAATTCGACGTCAACTCAAACCGACTGATTTATTAAATGAGATATTCATAAAAACTACATCTGCTAATTCTAAAGATACGGAAATAGCAATAAATAATTGCGCTAATTTGTCTTCACCGTTTGTCAACGGTGTCTAAATAATCTTAGATAGTACATATGACTCAGAAAAAGTCACATTGGTACTTGTAGGTTTCGAACTCGCAACCTCATCGATGAGGAGGTCTTAACCTCCGGGCCACAACGACCACGATATTTTTAGTCACCAATCTATAATTACAATCATGTTTAATATCTGTCATATACATTATACACACAAATAAAATTCAATTTCTAACTCCTTTTCTTCTCTTACAGAACTGGATAGGAGACGTCTCAACGCAAGACAATAAGGACTTCAAAATTGAGAACGCGGACATGCAGATTAACCCTGGTCCAGCTGTGGCCGTGAGATTCTTCGTACAGTTTAACCCTTTAAACAAAACTCCAAGACTACAAGCAATAAGACTGAACGGACGAGAGATTTGTAACGCGAATACTCCTCAACCGGTTATCAATGATAGACCAGATGTGATAGAAAGTAGGCCTTCTCAAAGGCCTACTAATGGGATTGAATTGAACACGAAGCCGGTGCAGACTCCACCTCGGGAGTCACCTAGACCTGTGTACCCACGTCCAGGGAGTCAACCTTCGCCTTCTAATATGTAAGTACCTTTATAATTTCATGCTTAAAACTTCTATTTGACTGGGCAGCTATTAGTAAGATTCTCAACATAAGAAAGTCTGCCACAATCTCCGCTTAGCAGATAGGGTGGAGACCGCAGTTTAAGTCGTTGGCTGCAGCATTACTATCAATCGCATAACGAGGCAGAGCTATGCCTTGTTCATTATACGTCAGTAATCTAGCCATTATCATCAGCCTATAAGTTAACTTTCATTCTTTCATTCTTCATTCACTTTCATTCTTCATTACTTCAAATGCGAATAGACGTGTACATCGATGCAAAATAATATTGCTTAATTGAAGAATTAAAATAATAGTGACCTAGTTTGGTATTTACTTTGACTTTAATTTTATATGTGAGTTAAGTGCTACAAACTATAATTTGATTAATTATGACAATAAGTGTGTACAACGACGAGTAATATGGACAGCAGCCCCTTTAACCGGAGCGGGATTACTCGCCGCACCCCTCCGCCGACAACACCGTGCCGGGAACAACCAGCCCAAATTGACCCTCCAGAAGTTGTAACTACATCAGATCTTCACCAATGGACCGGGTCAGTTGAGAGATACCTACAAGAAATCTGCAATATTTCTTCCGAGGGCAAACTGAACTCCGAACAGAAATTGAAAATTAGCAACCTCTGCCGAAAAGTATCCCAAGGCTTCACCCACGTCACTGTGCAATACCAAGCCCTGAAGAATAAGGCATTGATCCAACACTATGCCTTACAAGACCTCAAAGAAAAAAATGACCTTGCTGTTTCTTTAACGCAAATTAAAGAGACGATAAAAGAGTCCTGCTCGAAATCCGTGCCACAAAATAGCTCTTTTGCCGACATGGTGAAAAAAGGTACCAACAACTTTGTACGTCCAAGCCCCTTAAGCTCTGTTGCAATTTATCCTAGTGATAAATCAAAGACCAGCGACGAAACTAAGAACATTGTTCAAAAAGCCATTTGCCCAGGAGACATCAATCTAAAAGTACGTGGCGTTCGCAAGATACGTAACGGCGGTGTCATTATTAGCACTGAAACAAAAGAGGACTTGGAAAAGCTGAAGAAATCAGTCCAGCTCTCTTCCACAGGACTTACCGTTGATGAGCCGAAGAAACGCAATCCGCGACTTATTGTTTTAGGAATCCCGACCTCAATGGCTGAGCCGGAAGTGTTCAAATGTATTTTTGAACAAAACGTTGCTGAAAAGCTTCCCAGTTTGTCCCGTGATGCCTTCCTGGCTTCAATAAAATTAAGCCATAAATCAGGAAGGAGAGACGCCGACCACTGCAACTTCATCATTGAAGTTTCAGCCGCCCTACGTAAAGCCCTTATAACGCAAGATAGAGTGTTCATCAACTGGACATCCTGCCCTGTGAGAGACTTTACTATAGTGACCAGATGCTACAACTGCCAGCAGTATGGTCATGCAGCCAAGTCGTGCCAGGCTGCCGCTCCAACATGTGGTCACTGCGGAGATGAGGGCCACTCTATCAAAGACTGCCCTAAGAAAGGAGCTCCGCCGAAGTGCGCTACTTGCGCCCGCTTCAAAAAGCCGAGCAACCATCAAACTGGTGATATTGACTGCCCAGCTAAAAAAGCAGCAGAAAATAGGTACATGAATTCGGTAAATTATGAAGGCGCCTAAGAGCGCCACTCTTTTTTCTTAATCTTAGATCTAAGTTTACTTGTTAAATGGCCATTAACTTAATTAATGAAATTGACGATTCCTTTTCAAACATATCCACTTCTTGTGAGGTTGAAGATTGCAAAAGCTATGTATCCAGCTTCTCAAAATCACTAACTGTTCTCACTCAAAACATTCGTAGCTTATACAAAAATATAGATAATTTTCATGTTCTTCTAGGAAGACTTAACTTCTCATGTGACATAATCATACTAACAGAGTGTTGGCTTAAAAGTAGATGCGTTAACCTACCTGATATTCAGGGATATAACTCTTTTTGTAATACTATGAATACTAGCCAAAATGAAGGAGTGGTTGTCTATGCCAAAGATTCATTAAGAGTTACTGTAGAGGAACCCAATACACCAGGATGCAATTGTTTGGTCATTAAGGTAGATACAATTACAGCAATAATAGCTGTTTACAGGCCACCTTCCACTAGAAATTTAGATTCCTTTCTCAATTCCTTAAACCAGACATGTGAAACACTAACCTCCTTTAGAAATATTGTACTAACAGGTGACATAAACATTAATATCAACTCTGAGAATTCTGATGCAGGAATACAGGATTACCTTAATTTATGTGCATTTCATGGACTCCTCGCTGCTCATAAATTGGCAACACATCAAAGTGGTTCCTGTCTGGATCACATGATGGTTAAAACCAACTCAAACTATATTAGCCTTGTTACTAACTCTACATTAACCGATCATCATGCCGTTCTGCTTATCCTTAACTTCACGCTTCCGAAGCAAAATCGTCACCAAACTAGGTCACAATTAAACCTAAAAAAACTCGAACATGATTTACGCAATATCGACTTTACACCGATTTATAATTCTGCTGATGTCAACGTCTCGATGTCGTATTTAATAAATAATGTTGAACAAGCTATTCGTCGTAATACCACAGTTATAAAAACTAATAACAGACATTATAACATAAAGCCATGGATTACGCCTGGGCTTGTTAGATGTATAAGACACCGGGACAAACTACATCATAGAGCAAAACGTTTTCCTGATAATTTTGATCTACAATTAACATACAAAAGATACAGGAACTTTTGCAATAATTTGCTGAAAAAGATTAAAATCGATTACGATAAAGGCGCGTTACATCGGGCGGGTAAAAATAGTAAGAGACTTTGGCAACACATAAAAAATGTAACAAATACGTCCAAACAGCGAGAATCATGTTCGAATTTACTACTAACGGAATCTACTTCGCTTCAGTCTGCTGACAATGTAAATAACTACTTTTTAAATGTGGGTAGAAACCTCGCTCAACAGTTGCAGCTAAACTCTACAACCCGGACTAATACAACTTTACTACACTCAAATACTGAAAAATCATTTGTTTTATTAGATACAGACGAACAGGAAATTGCACGAATCATAACTGGAATGAAAGATAATTGTGCAACTGGTTGTGATGGAATCAGCAATAGGATCTTGAAAACATATAGGCAAATTTTTGTCCCACCTCTGACTCATGTTTTTCGAGAGTGTCTCTCTAAAGGCATTTTTCCAAAATGTCTTAAAAGGGCAGTGGTTGTCCCTATATTCAAATCAGGTGACAAGAATCTAGTTAATAATTATAGGCCTATCTCACTACTGCCATCGATATCTAAAATTCTTGAGAAGATTATTAACATCAGATTGGTAAATTACCTAGAAATGAATAAATTCTTGTCACCACTGCAATTTGGTTTTAGAGCAAAGTTGTCAGCAGCTGATGCAGTACATACACTCAAAGATTTCATATCAGAAGAACTCGGCAAAGGCAACCACGTTTTAGGAATTTTTATTGATCTTGCCAAAGCTTTTGATACTGTGTCTATTCCACTGCTTCTAAAGAAGATGGAATGTATGGGTATCAGAGGCACACAACTGAACCTCTTTGCAGATTATCTAGATGACCGTTACCAGTGTGTTAGAATAGATGACGTCACAAGCCCATTCCAGAAAAATACTGGTTTTGGAGTGCCTCAAGGGAGTATTCTTGGTCCTACCCTATTTTTGATCTATATCAACGATTTATGTAACATTGAGATGCATCATGGGAAACTAATATCATACGCTGACGACACGGCCCTAATTTTTTCATCCAATAACGACAATGAACTGTACTGTAATGCTCAATTGGCTTTTAATTCAGTTAATAGTTGGCTTTGCTCTAATATACTAACACTAAATGCGGAGAAGACAAAATTTATTCAATTTTCTATGCGCAAGAGTCCAATTACCTCTGCTACACCCCAATTATACGCACATAAATGTAGAATTAGTCCAGTGGACACATGCAACTGCCCTTGTATATTAAAAACTACTTCCATCAGATATCTAGGCATCACAATTGATGAAACTCTTTGTTTCAAACAACACATCAGCGCTTTAGTTGCACGCGTCAGGAAATTGATGCACATTTTTAAAAAAATTAGACAAATCGGAGATGTTAAACTAATCACTCAAATCTACCTAGCGTTATGTCAGTCAATTATCCAGTACTGTGTTACTTCTTGGGGTGGCGCATCAAAAACTAATATACTCCCTCTAGAACGTGCTCAGAGAGCCATCCTAAAAGTTGCATTTTCCCATCCCTTTCTCTTTCCTACATCGATGCTATATAGATCCTGCAAAGTTTTAACTGTTCGCCAAATCTATGTAGTACAGCTAATACTCAAACAACATTCACTACTCAGCTTCAATGTTAATAATCTTACTAACAAAAGGCGGAATGATATGGTTTGCACTTCAACCTCAGTGTCAAAACACGCTTTTATAAAAAGATTCTTTATCTTTCTTGGCCCATTTTTATACAATAGAATAAATAGAGAATTAAGTATTTATAGCCTCAATCACTTTCACTGTAAAAAACTATTACATAATTATGTACACACCTTAACATACGATCAAACCGAGGAATTACTTGAAGTAAGCAAATAATTTTATTATAGTTGACTTAGTTATTTTTGCTTACGTTTGTTTATGAAACTGTACACGCGCACCTGTTATACTTAGAGACTAGCTTAATTTAATTTAGACATAACATTTTTAGTTTTATAAGCAATATTATTGTATTTTAAATATTTCAGTACATTTTTAACCTGAAACACAGGCTTGGACCTAGTTCAGGTTTCACATATTTTTAGACTTTGTTTAGATATTAAGATTTATTTTGTAATCTGGCTTTTTACACCAAATAAACATTTTATTTATTATTTATTATTATTATTAACTAAAAATCGCGGGTTACTCGCGTGAATATACTGAGCTCTACTAGTTTATAAGTGGCTTATAAGTGGCCACGGCTGAGCAAAGGCCGTTTCTCACATGGAGAAGGTTGGAACATTAACCACCACGTTTGCTCAGCGCGGATTGGCGATTTCAAACTTATAATATTAATGTTGTTTACGATGTTTCTTTCATCGTCTGTTCAGTGGCGTCTAAATAATCTTAGAACGTACATATAACTCGGAAAAAGTCATATTGGTACTTTCGAACCCGCACCCTCACGCACGGAGGCGGGCACCTTAACCTCCGGGCCACCGCTGACGAGTATTTAGTAGCACTCCCTTGCTTTGATTTTAGGACAGAATCTATTTGATACTCGACTGAAATACTAGCCTACTTCAAACTGATCGTTATAGTCATAGCTAAATAATGTCTGTTATAGATCTTAAATCTAAAGACTGCCTCGTTGGCCGAGTGGTCGCAAGTACCTACGACTGCCGGGCAAGGGATCTCGGGTTCGATTCCCGGTTGGGCAAAGCATTAGTGGGTTTTTAAAAAATTCTCAGTAGTAGCACGGAGTCTAGAACTGTGTGAACTGTTATTAATATTTTATACGAACCCTAGAAATGTAACAGAAAGACATACATATAATAATACGCATATAGGGATGTCGTACGTCCTCAACCCTTATTTGAATACATTTATTACATTCTTCAAAACAGATCCTTGCTTTCTTTTGTCTTTTCCTTTATAAACACGTATCTTTTTCGGGACATATACTGAAACACCGGCTTATTTTTTATCTTTAATAGATCCTTTAGGATAAACCTTTATTCCTAACATTGTTTTTTTTATACTGTAGCCGAATGTTAAACTGTCAAACACCAAGCGGTCACCGGTGACCGCAACCTATTGTTCTATAATTGTGTCTACAAAACCGGTACTCGACGAGTTAAGAATCGAATTGAGTTCAACTTTATACCTAATTATTTAATATTGTTCTGCTATTCAAGTAGTGTCGTGGTAGTCAGGAGGTTTAAGACGCCCGCTTCTTATGCACGAGGGTGCAGGTTGTACATACTACCTCTATTTATTCAAAAATGTTGCAATGTCAGTAAAAGGCCGCTAAGTATTAAGCACTATAATAATTCTGTAACATCATCTGGGGCCTTAGTACGAGTTTCTTTTACGTTTTTTTTAAAGTAATCGTAACGATTACGCGTTCGGCGCTGTGATTGGTCGGCTCTTATGAACCAACCAATCAGAGGCCTTAGTACGAGTTTGTTTTACGTTTAAAGTATTCAAAACGAGTACGCGTTTGGCACTCTGATTGGTCGGCGCCAATAAACCCACCAATCACAGGCCTCTGTACACTTAGTTGCAATAAACGCTTTGCCTTTGACTTATGATATCTTCGATAAACGCAGGGTTAATAACATGATAATGTATTCTTCTCTTCCGTTATCATATGACTTATTAAAGCCAAAATGTTTTAATTAAAACATTTATCAAAAAAAACAACAGAAATAAAAAAACAACAGAATTAAATAAAAACATAACAATGACGTTCACACAAGCGAATCCATCATGGCGGCGGCGGCACGACGCGACGTGACGTCACTACAATTCGTAATGAGCAATTGATTACAACGTTCATTAATATCGCGCTATCTACCACTGTCATACAAATTACATCGTACCGCTAACTATGTGATTAATTCTCCCTTTAATATGGAAAAAATATTACAACGTAATATTCGGTTGTAATGGGTATTTTACCTGTGATCATTAGGAAGTATAAGAACGTTCCTATGCTACATGGCATTTGGAAAAAATAATTAGCAAAGCAACGAAACGACTTGGAACTGAGTCTTAATACTGCGATCAGTCATAGAGGATCCTGTATTCACTGACCTAACGTCAATCCCCAAGTCGCCTGCCAAGCCTGGCAAATTCTGGCAAACTAGAGAAAAGCATCAGATATTTTCCGAGTCTTCTACTTGTAATTTCAATTCAAATCAGTGGCCACTACTAACCAGAGGCCTCTTCTCACACGGAGAAGGTTTGAGCATTAATGACCACGCTTACTCAATGCGGGTTGGCGATTTCAAACTTATAATTAGAAATTATAAGGTTAGGTTGTCAGTGGTGTCTAAATAATATTAGAAGTACATATAACTCGGAAAATTACACATTGGTACTTGCCGAGGGCCGTGCATAGATATAATAATGAAGTTTATTAAATAAATATTGTACTATGAAGTTGTATTAAAAACTGTTTTTAATATTTCTTTGTTGCCGAGCTTGTTGCTTGACCATTGGTAGGTTTCGAACCCACACTATCTTGTATGAGAAATAGGCATCTTAATCCTCCGTATCACCACGACACTTAATAACACTATTTTTTACTTTATTTTGAGCAATCCCTAATTCGGAAAATCTTTGCATTTTCTTATCAACTCTCATAAGTTGCAAGGAAGTTAATTTGTGCATTACGCTGATACGTACCTAAGTTAAACCATTTTTTTTTATAAAGGTGCAGTAGATAACTTTACTCTTTAAAAATACTTATACATCAAAAACTAACCCTATATTTTTTATATTGCCTAGACCATCGTCATCATCAAACCAGGATCTGGACAGGCCTAACTACGTGCTGACCACACAGAGACCCGACCGCACAAGGAGACCCGTAAGGTAAATAAAACTATTTTTCTACTGATATAGTAATAATACTTTAATTTTACATATTGAATTTCTGATTACTTTTCTGGTTTAAATAATTTCAATTTATCTTGCTGTCTTGCGACATGCTATAAAATAAAGTCTTATCAAACTGAATGTGATCAACTCGAAAACTGCTGAACGTTTTTTCATAAGGTTCTTGTCAACCGAATGACTTATTATTACACAAAAGATCGTTTAGATTTTGAATTAGAGCATACTTATTAGCTGTTTGTAAAGCATAGGAATATTCAAGGGTACATTTTATTTTATAAATAACAGGTATTGTCCAAATTATGTTACCATTTAAAACCACACTATTAATCACATATTTTTTTAATTCTATATATTAAACGAGTTAGACTAGTGTCTCGATTCCTAAGCGAATGCTATTCCAATGACACACTTCACCTACCTATACAAGTTCTTAAGCTATAGTTGTTGAAAAGATGGATATTTAATAGTAAAAACGAGATAAAATTACATTAAATTCGTTTTGCCTTAAAATCATAACACCAAGTCTTAATACTATTTTGTAAATACTTACGAAATGTAAACGAAATAGCTCTTTCTTACTTTAATGGATTGAATTTGAAAGGAAAGAATTGAACACCATGAAAAACTATCCTGCCGTTTTTGAGTTACGAGTGATGAGACTGTTAGTCACACCATCTAGACATGACTTTGTTTGATAACGTAAGAATATTAATTGTTTCAAACAGTAAATAACTAAAACTAATTTACTTTAAAATTACACGTAACTTTTTGACGAGGTAGCTCAACACAAGACGACGTAACGCAGTAAGCCTCATACAGCGCTGCTCACAACGCTAGGTCCTGCGTGGTCGATCTAGAAGCGAACGCGATTATGAGATGGTGACACGCGTATTCAATGCAATGCCGTGCGAGACGGCGGCGGCTAGATCCTACGACCATGCGAATTGTTTCGCTTTGTTTTAGTACCGCATCGTAATATGACATTTCGCCAAATACCAAACCAAGTGATCGCGTCCGCCGCTCCGCCGCTCCGCACCGCTCTGCACCGCTCCGCACCGACGCCTACGTAGAACATAATACCTAGGTTTCGACAGTTTGTTGTTTTCGCGCCGCGCCGCAACGCTTCGCATTCACTTCTAGATCGCACACGCAAGACGTAACGTAAATATGAGTCCCTTTCACGGCTTGAAATAAGTCGAGTATCCTCGTCAAAAAGTTACACACAAATTACTTTAATTATGTTGAATATGTCTACTACTCTTGCTTACTAACTCAATTTGCTTACTTTTTTCAGGAAAAAATGCGAAAGTGTCTCTTGTTTTTTTTCCAGTAGTCCACCCCGGGACACTGAGTACTGGGACGGTCCCGCCGTCATAGTTCTGCCGGCTCCTGACAAAACTAACACTAAAACACATGGGGGACAGGTGAGCTCTTCTTCTTCTTCTTCTTTCCTTCTTTCGTGAACAGACTTCTGATAGGATAGGTTTAAGACGTGTGTCAAAGACATAGATTATTATGTGACGCAAATAAGACGTTTGACGGTTGGTGAATTTAATGAAAAAGTAGGCATATTAAACAGATCAAAACATACTCAAATAATTTTGTAAATCGTAATGACAATGTTCCAAAACGCCAAAATTAGTAATTGTATAACTTCGACCTAACCGAGGGAAACGAAAAAACCAATTAAACTTACAAAAAATGGAACAATCCGCATTGCAATTTCACAAAGACTTAATCAATGTAAGAAGAAAAGTACCGATTTTAAAAATTAAAACACCGATTTAAGCCGTCTTTTTAAAAATCGGCACATAACTCATCCTACTCAAACGTTAATCAATGACTTAAAATCAGGAATACATATTTCTATAAATAAAACCAACTGCGCACAATATTTGATAACCATTATATTTTCCGCAAGAGTATGAAAACATCAATCAAACAATAATTAACCTATCGACAAAAACAGATGTAAAAACAGATATAGATATGATAAAAAAATACAACGTTCCAAGTAAACAAGACTAAAAAACTAAATGTATCTATGGTAAAAAAATCTTCAATGGCAAAACTCACGCATTTTGTGCCTAAACCTTAGGTTACTCCTTATACATAGGTCTATAACACCTAGTTTTAGCAATTGTATTGAAACTTAAGTAAAAGTCTCGGCAAGTTGTATACATATATTATTTAGGTAGGTACGCCGCCGGACAAAATTGTTACATACCGAAAAAATAAACAAAAATATGCGTAGTATATAATATAACGAGCTAAGAGTGTATTCAATAAAATAAATATACTTAAAATTATCCCCTAGTGAATGAGGAAAAGTTTCATTGCAAAAATGAATCATGTAGTTTCGAGTATATGATCAAACAGCCAGACCGTACAAAAAAAACTAAGAAACATAAAAGTCATAAGCTTAGAAAAGTAGAAAGTTCTACTCTTCTTTTACTTTAAGTTCTTCTCTTCTTCTCAGACGTATCACTCTTGACAGAGTGGTCGTGGTTAACATGATGAATCACAATCAGTTGATGTAGCCCGTCATACGATGTTCCGCCACCTCTCCCGACTAGCTGATATTTTATTGCACTCATCCAAAGGCATGACAAAGTGGTCTATTTGATCAGCCTACCGCATCGGCGATCGTCCGCATGTCCTTGTGCCCTCTACTTTACCATGGACCACGAGACGCTCTATGGAGTCGTTTTCGCGTCTTGAGACGTGTGCGAATAGTTTTAGTACCTATACAAGATTGATTGTTCGATAGACGTTGCTTAAGTAAAAGTTATAATATGAGGCAAAATATTCTAAAACCAAGGATACACTAGGCAACAAATGTTTCGCGACACGCGTCGTGAGTGACGTTGTGTGAAGTAGCGCGACATTGCCGGTCGACATGTCTGGCAACATCAACGTCTCTGTGGACATAAGGCGCGCGTTGTCACCTTGTAAGACTCTGACACTTCCTCCCGCCTCACCCAGGCGGGAGCAGTCATTCGATGATTTTCCCCCCTTAAAAAAAATATCTAACCTACGTACGCTCGGGGACATATCCCCGAGCGTACGCCGCGTCGCGTTCCGCGCGGGCCTCAAAGAGTCATCAGACCACCACGGAGGCCTAATAGGGCTGATGCCGATTCGCGGGTTACCGGGGTGACATGTCGCTAATACATGTCGTGGGACATTATGTCCCCTAGTGTATCCTTAGCTTAAAGTTAATTTTACAAACATCCAAACGTCACATTATATATTTACACCAGTTAAAGGACATTGCTATCAAACCAACACAATACCTATATAATCTTATTTTATTTTTAAACGCCGATCGTAAGTACAGAACCAGTTTAATAAACAAAGCTACAATATTTAGCCGTATTTACATCCGGGTATGGCTAAATACAAAAACCCTTTATAGCTTATGAAGAAAAATTAAAACTAGTTATTCGACCTTCGCCACTTTCGAACGAAAGCTTTTAAAAAAAACATTCTATAAGTAATTTGTTTGTTTGTATCTAAAGAGTCGTATCCGCATTGTTTTCGCTATGTAATGTGAATTCTAGTTATGGGCTTTTTGGATTCAATTTTCTGTGAAAGTTGTCAAGGATATGATTGTTTAAGACTGAAGACTAGAAAATAAAGAGTTTTGCACTTTCCTTATTGGCTGCACTGCTGGCTGGGTAACCGGCTACTAACGGGACAACTTTTTGTTAGGTCTACAAGATTGAAAGTCTGTGTAGCACACACACACTCATGTGTATACCGTATACGTATATGTATGTTTGTTAATCGCACACACGTCCACGACACAGGAGATAATCCTAGGCCTACAGGACAACGTTTGAAATAGATATATTTTTTTTAAAGGGAGACATCGAATGACTGCTCCCTCCTGGGTGAGGCGGGAGGGAGTGTCAGACTCTTACTGACTAATAACCGCCCCGTTCCTTCTCCTGCACGTCGAGCCGAAGCCCCGGTAACCCGTTAGGTTCTTCGTGACAACGTACGAAATAGATTAGGGTAACGACTAAAAAAACTTAGTTTCGTTATTAGAAACA